CAAAAGCTATCGATTTGATTTTTAACACGAAAGGATTGAATATTACCAACGCTGCGGGAATAAAAGTTGAATGCGTAAATCCAACTGTTGCAGGAAAACAAAAGCTCTTTTATACTGGGTCTTATAAAAAGTAAACATTCACGAAAGTGAAAACCGTTAATTGTTCAACACCTGCAGCAATAAAACTGTTGAACCCTGAAAACAAGGTATCAATAAACAACAACAACAACAACAACAACAACAAAATACAACCCAAGATTCCTCAGCGGATCGTGGACGTAAAGCTTTCTACAGAGAACTTGTAGGAATCAACAAAAAAAAAGTCAAGAGCAGCTTAGCTCACCCCTAATTAGTACTATTAACATGTGTGGCACATTGACGTTCAAAGCACAGGATTTGGTATTATTCTTGTGAATTTATGAAAATTAACCTTTTGAACCAATTATTAACAGAGAGTTAATTCTTTAAAATTTAGTAAGAAAACTGAATAATTAACTCTCTGTAAAGTAGTAAGAAAATTGAAGATCAAACAGTTTTTAAATATAGTAAGAAAATTGAAGAATAAATTGTTTGTAAATGATTGGTTCAAAAAGTTAATTATGACATACTGACATAAACCAATTTAGAATTTATGAAAATACAGACTTTGAGATGAATAAAATCAAACCCCGTGTAAAAACCTTTAAATTGATTCAATATTTAAAAACCGGTTCACAGAAATCACGCAAAGTAAGGGAATATTAGACACTTTAACATTTGAGTTCAACCAGCCTACATCAATTTTCTTGATTTTCTCCCATTAAACACAAATATTTTCACCACTTTAATATTAGTTAACAGAGCCTTTCGGCAAGATTTGCTCAATAACTGCACATACGAGTAAGGTTATGGTAGATATGTGTGCATGTATTTGCTTCACGTTTTTTCTTCATAAGCAAACATTCGCACACAATATAACAAGACATTACTTACGGTTGTAGATTATATAAATTCCCCACGGTTTGCAGATGTTCAGATGCGGTGAGGAAGATTTGCAGCAAACGCAAGACGGGCTGGATTCAACGGCGTCGGCAACGGTTGAACTGAAAATTCGTGAAAAGGGTTCTAGTGTCCGCCGCTGTGTACGGGAGCGCTGCCATAGCGATTACCGTCTCGTCCTTGATATTCTGTGCCTCCGAGATATATTTGCATTAATTATTTACTAACCCTTTATTTGCATCGACCGAAGTATTATTGAATGTATTTCTTCTTGAACAAGGATATTTGTGTCCGAGATATTTGATTATACTTAATCGATTATTTCGATAGATCCCTTGTACTGTGAAAAATAGATTAACTTAGAGAAGTTGCACAATTATTGTATGGTATTGGGATGTACGCATACTAGATACGCTATCTAATTTGATTGAAAACAATTAACATGAACTCATTTCCAATTCCTTGAAAAATAAATTTATTGAACAAAAACGTGTACCAATAAATGATATCTTTGAACTTGCTTCTGTGTTAGAAATCTCTGATTTTGAGAGAAGAGAACAATTAATTACACATTTTTACTTAAATTGTTTTTGTGAAGTGTGCAATACAATTTACTAGTGGGATAAAAAGGCCCGTATGTACTAAAAGATGAGCTTTAATTCTTAAATAATTAATAATATAAATATTTATAATATTCATTCATATATACATTTATTTATTTAAGGCCACTTTTAACAACAAAAGTAACTAATATATTGTATTTATTCTTTAACAATTATTATAATATTATTAATGTTATAATAAATAACATGAAAATACGAATAAAGAATAAACATGAGGGTAACAGAAGAATATTGTTACATGAATGGGAAAGGAAAAGTTTGATTTTATGAAAAAGGTTCAACAATAAATCCACTGGAAGGTACGAATTTTATTAATATTCAGTATAAAGTATTTACAGTAAGTGTAAGTGATTTGGCTAAGATCAACACGAAGAATACAAGCATAATTTTAGTTGGATTTGGTGCTGCTTCAGCCTGCACCAATACTAAATTTCTTGCAACAACGGATTTTGGACAAATTGATGTGGATGCAGACAAACACTTTTAATAAAGACATTGGATATTTGATTGCAGCCGTGATTTTAAACACAGTACCAAAACCTTTGTACAAATAAATTTTTTAGAGAACTATAAAATGGAGGATACGCAGCACCACACACATTATGAATCAAATGGACTTGTTTTACTAAAACAATAAAAAAATGTTGAATTTAAGAGAATAAAATCTTACGAAAGACTGAAATATATATTTCAATTATATCGAGAAAAATAATTTGTGCTGTTTATTTCTTCTCCTATTGCCAAGCGTCATTAAGGTTTAATTTCTTCATCATAATCAGCAACTGTAGCAATTTCTGGTAGGTCATCCTTAAGTCTTCAAAGTCATTAATGTCATTTAAATGTTTTGTACTGTTGAGCAGCAGACAGGAACACATTGTTAATTTTGTATGTCTTTTATGTAAAATGAAACTCAAGTTGGTTGTTTATTGTTAACCAATAAATTATTTTAAATCAAGAGGAAATCAAGAGCCCAGAAGTAAAGGAAACCCAAGCAAAGTTTCAGTTTTCCCCTCTCCCAAGTGTGAAGAAACGTGTTCCCAGAATAACTTTACCTGCAAAAGTTCTAAAGGCATTCGCAGATGTTTTAGATGACTTTTCACAATCGAGCATTATTTCCATTTACAAATTTACAGCAGCTATTATTAAGAAATTGGGATTTTTAACTTCCAGACTGACTTATAATTTACGCACCACGGACGATAAACAGGAAAAGGTGATCTTATATTAAATAGTCCCTTGGTACATTAACTTTTGAGTTTAGGGGTCTAGGCAATGCAAGTTTGTAAAATTGATGCAGATCTGTGTTGGTTTTCATGAAACTCCTTAATTTTCGAAAATTGCATGAGTTTACAATTTTTTTAGTCTCCTCCGCCAACTACATTTTTGAATTTAAAAATGTTTTCCTATCCATATCACAAAGCCCCATTTAGCATTATCACACCATAGCTAAGTGGGAACAAATACGCGCCATGCCGAACCAACCTCGCCCTATTTATTCTTTAACAATTATTATGATATTATTAATGTTATAATAAATAAAATGAAAATACGAATAAAGAATAAACATGAGGGTAACAGAAGAATAATGTTACATGAATGGGAAAAGGAGAATTTGATTGATTAGTGATTTCTGACACGACAACTGCCAAGGCCATTGGTCCGTAAATGAGGGTCATGTTTTGTATGGCGGGAGCGGCAGTGAACTACCCCTGCCGGTTGCCGAGATCCTGCGCCGACCTACACATTGACTTCCTGGAATTTTCCATCTAGGTATCTCCTACTAGTGGGGCACCGCCCACGCCGGGACAAGCTCTAAGCCCCTGACTGGTCTCCTTGAAGTGTGTGTAAGGGGTGAGGATAAAACAAGGAAAAGGAAGGAAATATCGTGTGCGGTCCGTTTGTTAGGGAACTGCTCCCGCATCCACCTGGTGTTGAGCAAAGAAACCTCAGAAAATCATCTATTAGAGCCGCCGGCCGCTAGAATTCTCCTCCAGCAGCGGATGAATTCAACTTATCTAAGCAGCTAGAGTCGAAAATCCTGCCACAGCCGGGACTCGAATCGTAGGACCTCTAGTCAGAGCCTTAGCAACGACATCAAATGATACCCTAAGCCACCTTTGCCAATGAGTTCACTCTCTGATCTGGCACTTGCCTGTTGTGTTTGAGTGTGCTGCTATTAATAATTACTTCAACGAAATAATAATCGAGCCATCGACCTCTCAACTGGGAAATTTGGTTGATTGTTTTAGTGTAGCCGGGCCCGTCAACCACCAATGTCATTAGTCCAGCAAGTGTAGTGCAGGTTTTTACTCTGGAGATTGCTGTGATCCCTCGCTGTATGGTGAGATCCGGCGCCGACATACCGTACGCTAGCTGGGGTTTTCGCCAAACAGGTAGAGGAGGATGGTGAAGGCAACAATCTACACATGACTAACGATTAAGTATGTTTTTAATCGCGTTAGTGATTACCCCACCCATCATGCGTTTTCATTTCAATAATTAAATCCATGCAAACGGATCCATCCTTTCCTTCATGACACTTGTTGTGACTTCCCATCACAATGATCTCCCGTGCTTTCACAGCAGCCGGGCTGTCGCATCGAACATCTGGTATGAATCGACATGCAGGTCAGCCGCTAGCTAGAACTCTGACGCGAAAATTAAATTATCGACGGAATATTAAAACTAAGAGCGACCTTTCCCTTTTCTGATTATTACTTTTAAATACAACAAATTGAAATGGCCAACGATTGTATTTTGACACAAAAAAATAATAGGGAAAAGGTTTGAGAAAGGATTTTGGAGAAACATTTAAAAAATTGATGTCCAATGCAAGAAAACCACATGTAATTCGGTTTCGAAATTTTTTTTTATTTTAACGTATTGTAAATAATATTTTATTAAGAAAAATCGAATTAAATATATCGCACATGAATAATAACCTTAGAAACCTACTTAAAAAGTACGAATACTTTGTAATCATTTTGCACTAACAGTTTTGATTCATTACGGAATGAACATGACTAATAAGTCCAAGTTTCAAGAGTTAGCGCTGCCAAATGGTGCTACACAATTTTGGCGACCGTCCCATGGCCAACGCCGTGCTCGTCTCCCCTCTCACGAGGAGCTGCAGCAGGATTCTGCTCCTTTTCCGGCTTGCGCGGCGCTGGCGCGACTTCCGGGAGGTCCTGCCCGTCCGCACGCGCCGATCTCCGCGCCCGCTCCCTCGCGGGAGAGCAGAGCGCTGCAGCACGATGTGCAGCTTGCCCAGCCGCCCCTGCCACACCGTCACCCTGCGCCGGCGTGGGTGTGGGTGTGGGCGTGGGCGCGGCTGCTCCTCTGGTGTTTGCAGGGGGTGGGGCGGTGTCGGCGGTGGGGGCGGGTGTGGGCGGGGTGGGCGGTTGCGGGCTTCATCGTGGACCACACTAAGAGCGTCGACTTTCTCACTTTGCCCAGCAGCGCCGCCTGCACCTGCTGCAGGCTCAGGTTCTTCGTCTCGGGCAGCTGCGCGAACGACAGCCACGCCGCCAGGCCGCAGCACGCGGTGCTCAGGTAGAAGGACACGTAGGCCAGGCCGCGGCCCCACAGCTCCTGCGCGACGCCAACGCGCGGTCACGCTTTCACTTTTACACATTTACTTAAAAAAACAACCTTTCCGTTAAACATGCAAATGCGCAATAAATATTCAAGAAACTAAATCCTGAAAACAAGTTCGTTCAACACAACAACGGTAAGAAAAGTCGGCGTCCAGAAACCTCCCGATGAAACCTTTTAGAAACGGCTGAAAATACATTTTTTGTAATTTAAGATCGCATCAACTACTAGGTCATTAGCGACCACTATTGCGTGTAATGGTATGGCAACTATAAGGATGACGCGATATGATAGGGGTGTGAAAGGACGAACGCAATACAACTATGCCCGAGGTGGGACTCGAACCCCCGATCCTGCGGTACGAGATCGCTACTGCCTTAGCGATGTCGGCCATCCGGACCGGCGGCTGAAAATATTGTTAAATAAAAACAAACAATTAACATTTAAAAGTTACAAGTGTTAGACCACAATCAATTACGATATTCAACACTCTTGTAGAACGCGAAGATAGTTTTTAGTGCAGAAGTAGTGCATTTTTGTAAAGAAAAATATTCTCAAGAAGATCATAAACAAGAGGAAATTTCCAACAAGACCGTTATAAATGAAACATCTAGTGATTGCTCTCAAGATCTTGTAATCCCCCGCTCTGTAAGTTTCACTCAATCTTTTCAAGAATGTTAAATTTCTGTTTTTTGGTTCTACATTTATGCGTATTTTCTGTATTTTGTATAGTATTCTTTTATTTTATACATTCTAGATACTGAACATTTTAAATAATTTTTAAAATAATGAACCTTTATAGTGATTTGCTCTCCGTACATTTGTTGTATAAAAATACGGTACATTCTGCATACTCTACAATGTTCACAGCCAAATTTTTGCAGAACATGTACTATGTTATTTGTCACCTACCCTGCAGTGCCCATTGTCCCAATTTTGGGGCGGCCCAATGTATGAAAAGAAACTAATCAAATACCACTTCTCTACTGCTAGATAAATTCCAAATATAAAAAAAAAATATTGAGACAAAAAAAATTGAGAAGAAGGGTTAAGAGGTAGCAGCTCGAAGGAGGTCACACCTGATGCATGCGGGAGGCGGCCCACCAGGCGGCGCCGGTGGCGGCGGCGGCGAGGGCGGCCGTGGCCTCGCGGGCGGGCGGCGGTGCGAGCTCTGCGGCCAGCGCCAGAGGCAGCGGGCCCAGGGCGAGGGCGTGGGCGGCGGCGGCCGAGCACAGCGCGCCAAACGACACCGCCGCGCCCCCGGCCGTCGCCTCGGCCGCGCGCAGGCTCACCTGACAAACACACAGACACACCGCACGCTGCAGCACTCGAGGATGAAAGGAATGTCTGGCGGTGAGGATGAGGGGTATCCGGGCGCGTTTAGTTGTGTAGTCTTAGGCTTCCGCGGCCACAGTCTCGTGATAGGAGATTTCATGCTAACTTCATGCGATGATTTTCAAAGTTGGCACTGCTCTTAAAGGATATGCAACGGTTTCTTCAAAACTGATAGATGTTCATAAATCATAATCGATTAATGTGATACTAAACAGAACATGGTAAATGTAGAAATCAATCCTTATAACAAGGAGGAAAACTGAACTGGATGCAGTCGGGCTATGCTATTTTAGGAAGATTCGTAAACTGCTTACGAAACGTTGACCGCGGGATGCAGTTGGTATACTCTTCATAGTAATGACTTGTTACAAATGATCTTGGCTGTCGGGATATATATTGCTGTGGTGTGGACGTTTCGACCTCAAGGCTAGTTTGCCAAGGTTTCCTCGTGGTTGGCAGAGCAGCCCTGAGTAGTAACGTAACAAATTGAGTAGGGGCCCGCCCGCAAAACTTTTCACCGAGCCCCCTTTACAAAAATGTCAAGAAAACTAATGTGTCAGTACCTTAAATAAAAAAGGATCCTTTAACAAATTAATGTTTATCAGTCCATGATTAATAACCAACAGTAGAAAAATATATATTTATTATTTAATTTATTGAAATTAAGTGTGTTATAAAAACTTTAATTAATGGTTTACCTTGGATATAAAAAGACTTACCTCAGCTACTAAAGCAGAAAAACTGTTATTCTGGAAGATCCTTTTTTCCGTATTCTATTTCATCAACTTTCGCAAAATATCAGAAAGTTTCAAATAATTCATGTTTTTTACAATCGCAAATCCTTCACCCTGAAACTAGGCCCCTTATCTGCGAGCCTTGCGGGCCCAACCGTTATCTTCATTGACCCTGAGGAAGGCCACAAGACGGTCGAAACGTCGGTATCACAGCCTTCAACGCAACGTCACCCAGACAACCATAATCATTTGCGGCAGGATTTAGAGAGCGTATACCGACTGCATCCCTTGGTCAACTACTCGTATCTACCTAAAACCCCATAGCCCAACTGCACCCACTTCCGTTTTTCTCCTTGATATAAGGATCGATTTTTACTTTTACCATGGTCTGGTTAGTATTATATTAATCAATTATAATTTATCCACATCCTCAAGTTTTCAAGAAACCTTTGCATGTCTTTTAGGAGTAGAGTAAATTTTGAAAACCATCACTTGAAATAAAACATGAAATCACCTATGACGGGCATCATCTTACCCTTTTGAATTATCATACACAATTCCAAATATTCTGCCATGTTCACCTTTGAGGTTTTCTTTGGACTGGTGTGAGAACATCAATTTAAATTACTTATAAATGCAAACTTAATGAACGATTTTACCTGGGAAAGTGAGCACGGATTTGCCCATGTGAAACATATTTTAGGCTCACAGCTCAAGCTACACAGACAAACGAGGAAAGAAATACTGAAAACTTGCATGATATATGAAAGCACGTTTAACTACGTTCGTAATGGTTTTGCAAGTATATATGAAAGCGTTCCTGGGAAATGCAGATGAGATTATGTCGGAGCGACGGTCATCACTCTACAATGGTTACACTGTGTTTGTTAAAATGTTATATGGTCCTGTTTCAATGCAAAAACCACATCCTGTAAACTTTTTGTATACAAACAAAATCCCCAAAACCGTATTTCAGTAACTAGTTAATACGATCAGTTGTAAGCACCTGTGTAAACGAAAAAAATACGAAACTACGTTCTACGCTGTACGAAGGAATTACGTAAGTGCGAAGGTGCTGTAATCTCTGGGACTCACCACGTGCACGGCGTGCGCCAGCGCCGCCGCACCACCCGACGCCACCAGCGCCGCGCGCCGCCCCGTGCGCACCAGCACCAACGGCGCCAACAACGACGCCGCCATCTGCGAAAGTCACCACCACTCTCACCCTCCAATGCCAACATCTATGCCATCGGCGCAACAAGTACTCCAACAGCCTATAGCGCACTTAACAACAGTCACTTACGTAACGAAAGTAATACTAGAATTTACACATTGCCTCCTATGAACTTCAATCAACATCATTCGCACGAAGAACCGAATTTAAGCGAAAGAAGTTAATTGAAATTTTTACAAAATGAACAAAAAATAGTACAATGTACGTCGCATCGTAATCTCTGTAGTCAAAACACTAAGGGTTTTCCTTTAGAAAAAGTTTTAAGATTCAAACGCAACCAAATTTCGTGATTTTTGTTTTAAGTGAAAGGGAATGGAACGAAGATGACTTACGTGTTCTTAATAAGCAGTTTTATTTAGTAAAAGCTGAATTATAATATTCAAATTATTGGAATTAACGATTTTCTGTGATTTATTTATTACTTCACTATGTGAATAGTCATCGATCTATTGAATGCACATGATATTCCACCTTCGAACACACATGCGAAAGTAAGCTTTCTCTTTGCGAAGCGAAAAGAGCGATTCATTTTAAGTTCGAAAAGTTATTAAATGCAAAGATTAAGAAACATGTATAAACCTATGCACAAAACATCGTCTGATATTATTCTTTCACTAAAAATTTCATTGGTTATACATATGTAATAAATTACATTTTGAAGGCAAGGCGCACACTGGGATTTCTTTGCAATAGTACTCCAAATTACGTACAGATCTAGGTGAATATGAAACATTATTATTTCATTACATGAAACGTTTCAAGTCTATTTTCAATGAATAGTAGTTGCATTGTTTCAGACTTCTAAATCTCTAATTTCATTAGTCTTCGAGATTCGATACTAGATGATTTGAAAAAAAGTAGGGGGTTTTCCGTGTAGGGAAAATGTAAAACTTTTGTAACTTTTTACCACCTACTTAACTTTAGATCGATGTCTTTTGAGTTCAGCAAGTAATTTTTAGATTAATCCATTGGTCCATTTCTATTTTTACAAAAGTTTGTAAATAACTCTTAGGTATTTTTCTATCGTCAGGATCCAAAAAAAGGGAACGTTTAAAGGACAAGTTATTTTTGTGAAAAATATGTGCAGAATTTAGTAGGAAGAATTCCATGTAGATAGTTTTCAAGCCACATGGTATACAGAGTTCAAAACAAGTACACAAAATAATTTGTCGTACTGAGAATAAACCCATACTGCCTAAAAATTCCAATTTTTCTAGTGCACCAGTGTTAATTTAACGTTTGTTTGTAGACGAGTTTAAGTTTAATATAAAATTTAACGAAGATACTTCTTTCATGAGTGTCAAGAAAATTTAAAGCTTTTTGAGCAAAGTTTATGTCTTACCGCTTATTAGAATTTTTTTAGCATACATGAGAGAACCGTGCAACAAATTCTCTATTATATTATATACAGTATTTTTAATACATAACTCTAAGAAAGATGACTGCAAAATAAAATATTGTAGACAGTCTAGCAAAAACGTTTACTTGTAGAGTAAGTACAGCGTTCCAAAATAGTTATTAATGTCATGAGTGGCAAAAGTGGTCTTTATAATTTGCGAGTACGAAAGTTTGCGTCGTAGGTCAGTAAACCAAGTGGCTCATTGCTCCGTTCAAAATAAAATTACTTTTACCACGTGTGTCATACACAATCTTTACGAGAGCCTTACTGACACTCATTTTATTTGTATTCAAGTATACAAATCACAATGATACACTAATGTCAGTTGTAGATGCAGTAAGACTAAATTATTTTGTTTCCTTTGTTGCATTCACAGGTTTAACTTTACATTTACGTATCGTCTTGTTTCAATCACTAGCACTAAAACTGAACTAGCACGCATTGCGTGCTCCGAAAGAACAACTTATAGTAGTGGCCACCTAAAAATTAAACTTCTAGCAGCAGTACTGAAAGATCACGTTTTCAGATAAAACCATGAATGCAACAAGGAAAACTACGTTCAAATAAATGTACTCTGTCCTGACAGTTAATCAGCTTATTGATAATAATGTAATAGTACATAATGAAGTGATTTGTATAATGTACATTCAATAACATGAAAGTCGATAAGGATGAATAAAAAATTGTGTATGCTCTGTGGTAAAAGTGATTTTATTTTTCTCGTGTAATTGAGTATCTTGGCCCGTCACGTGTCGCAATATTTCCTACTTACGAAATAAAAGTACAATTTTGGAATTTGTATCAACTTCTTAAAGATTCTATCAACGAAAAGGTTTCATTTTCTATCGTGCATTTAAGTCACCACTCAGCCACGCAAATCTTTTTCGCTTCGGATCCCCCCCAGTAACGTTTTGTGAGCAAATCACTAATGAACATCATGTCATTGAATTATGACCGGACTGGGCGTTCAGATAAATATAGAATCAAATTCTTGCGAACCTTACTTGTAAGTGCTGATCATTTGTGCCCTAATATAATTTTACATCTGGTTGTCTTTACTTAAACAAAAATTCACTCTACGTTATTAAGAATTTAAATTCTCTTCTCATATTTCCATGTAGCTAACAATATATCTGTTTACTGTGTTAATCAGCGACACGTTGATCATTTTACAATGTTAGGAAAACTATACACGTAGAAAGTGTAACAGGATTTCCTTATAAAGCACAAGACTGAACTGCCATAAAACTAATTTGAACGTACCTGAATGGATCCCAATATTATCCAGCAGGTACTCTGCGACAGGGTAGACCTGGCCAAGTCATAGGAGGCGTACGGGAGGTAGGCGCCCTCTGGCCCGCGCGTGGGGCGCGCGGCGCTGCTGGCGTGCGCCCGCCCATGCTGCTGCGTGGCTGGCGACGGGCGTGCGGGCGCGGCTGTGGCGCCTGCTGCGGCGCGCGCGCTGGCGGCGTGGCTGGGCGTGGCGTTCGCCGCGGGCGCTGTACGCGCGGGAGCGACAAGCGCGCGGCTGCGCGGGCGGCGGGCGCCTGGCCGCACTGTGCCTGAACGCGGGCCAGCTGCTGGCCTACTGCGCCGCGGCGCGTTGTCCGTCGCGGCGCTGGCGCTCGTGGCCGCCGCGCTGCCCGTGGCCTTCTTCGGGCGCTCTACGCCGCGCCCGGATCGCCGCACTGGCTGCTGCGCGCCCGGCGCCGCGGACGCTGCGCGCGCGCTGCGCCGCTGCGCGCGGGGAGGGTGGGACGCGCACCGAGCTGGAGTGGACTGGAGCACCTGGAGGCGTCTCGTGCAGCGATGCGGACGGAAAGCCGCCGGTACCTCTGCCCCGTCCGATTCCTTGCTAAACCGACCGCCGCCGTTGCGGGCCTCCTCTCGTCCCTCGCTGGTGACCCTGCCAGATCGTCTCGCGGGCAT